TTTAATTGGTTTGTGATTTTTAATTTTTGGGCCAAATTTATATATATTTTAATTGTTTTTTAATATTTGTATTTCATGTTCTTAATTCTGGCTGTACACCGCCCTGAGTCCTCAGGGAGAAGGGCGGTATATAAATTGGAAATAAAAAAAAATAAAAAATTTTTACTATCGGTTCTGTGGCGTGGCTTGGTGGGCGTGGCAGGGGAAGGATGCTGCAGAATCTCCATTTCCACCCCACTTCATGAGAAGGATACTGCAAAATTTCCATTCCCACCCCATTCCAGGGGAAGGATGCTGCAAAATCCCCATTCCCACCCCATTCCAGGGAAAGGATACTGCAAAATCCCCATTCCCTCCCCACTCCTGGGGGAAGGATAGTGCAAAATTCCCACCCCACTCTGAGACCATCCGAAAGTGGTATTTTCCAGTTCTCCGAACTACTCAAAATTTCCACTACCGGTTCTCCAGAACTTGTTAGAACCTGCTGGATTTCACCCCTGACTCCCTTAGCGACCACCTTGTTTAGCAATGGAAATTCTCATCCCGGTTGTGGTTGTAAATATTACAGTTGCAAGTTTTGTTGCATGAAAATACTTTTTACTGCCCGTCAAGGTTCAACATTGTACCCATAAGATAAGCCCATATAACAGTAATTGGTGAAGGTCTTTCCCAGCCAATCAGTGTAAAGCAGTTATCCTCCAAGTTGATCCTTCCCTTCTGCTTTCTGACACCTTGGATGTTGACAGTGGTGAGGTTTGAACCCACCTGGCCTCCTTCAGTTCAAGACAGTTTATTTCCAAACAGCTTATCTTGTGTGGTAGGCAAGATAAAAAAAAAATAACTCTTCCAATGTAATGTAACTCGCTGTGCGTGTGAATCTTGGCCTCCCCAGTAGCAGTTCAACCCTTTAACCATTCCACTTCTGTGCAACTGAGTTTCCAGCTCAATGCAGTTCTTAATTACAACAATGCAATGTTTCTTTTCTGACTGCAGATATCCTGGCCTAATTCTGCAAACCTTGCAATTTTCTTATCTCTATTTCTGTAGAACTGAACTCACACATTCAGTGGAAATGTTGCTGAATTTCTCGCTCTCTCCCTCATGACTTCTCAGAGTCGACTGAGCTTCTGCACATTTTCATAGTCATTTCAGACCAGGAACATATTAGAAAGTTGACAATGCAATCCTGTTGCCCTTTGCAGGTAATGGCAGAGCCAAGAGGAGGTTGCAAAACCTGGACTCTGAAGAAAAAAATAAAAGGAGGGGAATAAAAAGAGAAGTTGCCCTTTCATTTTGCAATCCCTCTACAGTCTTGTTTCATCCTTTCTCAGTCTCAGCAACTTTAGGACATGTGGACTTCAACTCCTCAAATTCCCCAGCCAGCTAGAATAGATAGATAGATGGTGGATAGATGATAGATAGATAGATAGATAGATAGATAGATAGATAGATAGATAGATAGATAGATAGATACAGATATAAGATAGATAATAGATAGATAGACAGACAGATAGATAGATAGATAGATGGATGATAGGATGATTGATTGATTGATAGATAGAGATAGATAGAGATATAAGATAGATAGATAGATAGATAGATAGAGATATAAGCTAGATAGAGAGATAGAGAGATAGAGATAGAGATAGATACAGATGGATGGATGGATAGATAGATAAATGATAGATAGATAGGTAGATAGATAGATACATGATAGATAGATGAATGATAGATAGATGATAGATACAGATGGATGGATGGATGGATGGATAGATGATAGATAGAAATAATAGATAGATAGATGATAGATGATTGATAGATAGATAGATGATAGATAGATGATTGATAGATGATAGATACAGATGGATGGATGGAAGGATGGATAGATGATAGATAGAGATAGATAGATAGATAGATAGATAGATAGATAGATAGATAGATAGATATGGATGGATGGATGATAGATAGAGAGATAGATAGAGATATAGATAGATAGATGATAGATAGATAGATAAGATAGAGATATAAGATAGATAGATAGATGATAGATAGATGATAGATAGATAGATAGATAGATAGATAGATAGATAGATAGATAGGTAGATAGGTAGATAGATGATACAGATGGATGGATGGATGGAAGATAGATAGATATAGGTATAGAAAGGAAAGAAAGAAAGAAAGAAGAAAGAAAAGAGAGAGAGATAATTCTGGGAGATTACATCAAGACATCTTAAAGTTGCTAAAGCTAAGAAACAATGCTCTTCAGTGTCAGACCTCTGGTGTTGAGAAAGGCCTAAAATCAAGCATCTTTGATTCCTCTTTGTGTGAGCCCAGGAGGGTTTGGGATGGAGAGATTCTTTTCTCCTTGTACGGATAGAATTGCTCTGCTTAATTATTCATAAGCTGAATTGTGAGTTACATGAATCCTACATGGAATACAGAATAACAGAGTTGGAAGGAAACTTGGAGATCTTCTAGTCCAGTCACCTGTTTGAGCAGGAGACCCTATTCCATTCCAGACAAATGGTTGCCCAATTTCTTCTTAAAAACCTCCAGTGATGGAGCACCCACAACTTCCGGAAGCAAGCAAGCCATTCCAAATATCCACCTGAATATTTGGGGCTTTTCAGAACAATCTTGGAAGAAAGGTGTTAACGGATGGGTTTGTGCAGAGGCCCTTTCTGAATATTTATTCTGGCCACTTTGCACACATTCTTCCCACAATGGGCTTCTCTCATTGCTCTCACCTTTGACAGCACGGGTCACTGAGGATGAAATGCAAAGGAAGGAGGGGACACACACGCACACACACACACACACACACTTTCTCCTAAGAGTGATCAGCCCTCTGGACTCAGAACAAAACACAAAAAGGCTATAGAGGCTGATCTTATAGTTCAGCTTTCCTTGAGCAGCTTATGAATGCATGAGGCAATCTATTGACATATGCAGAGATGGCCTTATAAGGGAAAGGCAGAAGGAAAGGGGTCCAATCCCTGAGCTGAGGGCCATGGGACTTCCCAACTCCCTTGTGCAGAAGCTGGCCATAAGTTGACATTTCAATAAATGTGAGGCTGAAAGATATTACAAAAGTAATTCCGGTGAGAAACGCCCTCTGGGTATCTTGGATGCTCCTTCTCTGGGCTGGGGATTTGGGGAATTGTAGTCCAACCTGGATGGAAAGCTTCCTGTTTGTTTGTTTGTTTTGTAATTTTGTTGCTTGTATCCTTACGATTTATATTGATATTGTTTCCTGATTGCTTATTTGTACCCTATGACTATCATTAAGTGTTGTACCTTATGATTCTTGATGAAGGGATCTTTTCTTTTATGTACACTGAGAGCATATGCACCAGGACAAATTCCTTGTGTGTCCAATCACACTTGGCCAATAAAAAAAATCTATTCTATTCTATTCTATTTAATTCCACCCACTTGAGTGGAAAGTTCACAACACAATAAAAACAAAATACAAAATTTTAAAAAGATGAAATTTGGTTGCTCTGCAAAAAGAGAGACAAAACACCTCTAACAAGGGGCCTCCTCCATCTCTCAACCCAAGGTCTGGGAGAACAATCAGATCTTCAAAGCCTTGCAGAATTTCAACAGGGTGGGAGCCGGCTGAATTTCCAGAGAGAAGGTGCTGCTTTCTGGGTCCTGAGACACGGTACTGTTTGATTGAAGGGACCTGGATCTTGCCAACCTTACTGGTTGGGCCGAAGGTATGGGACATACTGTAGGTGGTTCCTCAAAAAGCTTGGCTCCACGTCATGTAGGACTTGATAAGGGATGACTAGCACTTTGAATGACACCCGGAGTAATACTGGCAACCAGTGCAGCTCAGGAAGCAGAGATGTCACATCGCAGCTTGTGCCGTTGGGCATGTACAGTAGGACCGCTAATCCTGGATTGAGTTGCAGCCTATTTTGGCTGGCATTGCATTTCCTCTGCATGTTAGGGACATAGTCTGGCTGTGATCTGAGAAATGGAATGGCATTTGGAAAAGCTAGACACGGCTATGACTACGAGTTCTTCTAAATTGATTCAGCTAATGAATCACTTAGCAAAGGGGTTTCCAACCTTGGCAACTTAAGACTTGTGGACTTTTGGAATTTTGGAAGTTGATGTCCACAAGTTTTAAAGTTGCCAAGGTTGGAGACCCCTGACTCAGCCTGTCCTGCAGAAAGATCTTCTAATGAGCCTCACTGTTGGCGTAAGTCAACCTTTGTTACCCTATGTATTGGACTGTGTTTCTCGTACTTCCTTACTATCATCAAGATTCATGGATTTTTTAAAAAGTCATGGTACAATTTTTAATTGTGTATGTATTTATAAGATTTCTATGGCTATTGTGTAAAATGATACAGCCCTGGCAGAGAGGAGCATCACATATTTCATTATGATCGTAAGTTGAGAACTTATATTATCAAGTACCCTAACAGTCCCATTGATGATGATGTTACCCATTCAGTCATGTCCGACTCTTGGTGATTCTATGAGTGAGGTCTTTCCATGTCTTCTGATCTTGCACAGTCCCAGTACAAAACTACAAATGCTAGGTTTCCCTCTCCTCCTGGCCCAGCACCTGGAGAAAGCCAAGTCTTAAAAGCCTTCTAGAAGGTAGGAAGGATAGAAGTCTTCCTCCGTTCAGTGGGAAATCTATTCCACAATGCAAATGTGTCTATAGAAAAAATGGGCTTCCCAGGTTCTATCACATGTCAACATTTAAGAGCCAAAGAAGCCTAACAGTGACATAATATTATTGTACAAGGCAGTAGTGAAATCCAATTTTTTATATTACCGGTTCTGTGGGTGTGGCTTGGTGGGCATGGCGTGGCTTGGTGGGCGTGGCAGGGAAGGATACTGCAAAATATCCATTCCCTCCCCACTCTAGGGGAAAGATATTGCAAAGTCCCCATTCCATCCCTACTCCTGGGGGAAGGATATTGCAAAATTTCCATTCCCACCCCACTTGGGGCCAGTCAGAGTTGGCATTTGCTGGTTCTCTGAACTACTCAAAATTTCCGCTAACGGTTCTCCAGAACCTGTCAGAACCTGCTGGATTTCACCCCTGCTACAAGGATACTAGAGGATTTTATCTGATTTTTCGGGAGGAGGGGGATTACATTAATAACTTATTTTAACGTTTTCCCAAAACGAGCAAAACTTCATACCAGCATATTTTATTGCTGAATTTTAGGGAGCCACAGCTATGCAGCTGAGGCTGTGTATGGCCCATATCTTTCTGGTATATCAACTCAATTTACTTCATCCAAACTGTCTAGTGTCAAGATATATATAGATATATGAATGCAGGGATTTTTCTGTGTGAACTTGCTTCCCTACTTTTTCTGGTTGGTTGTGATGTGATTCCCCCCCTCCTTGTCGTGTTGTAAATATGCACTGAGGGGTCAATCCAGTGGCCAATTTTAATTATTTGCCCTTGCTACGTTCCTAATCTGGATCAAGCGCACTAACCAGAGTTGACAATGAAGATACAGGTAGTCCTCAACTGATGTCCATAAATGAACTTGGCAATTATGGTCGTAAGTCATCACACTTGTAAAGCAAATCATAATAGGCATACATCATATGGCCCACTGGTAGCTAGAGAGCTTACAAGGAGGCAGGTCCAAAATATTTGGATCTTTTTGGAAACCAGGATGGATAAAAATCAATGATTTTTTTTAAAAAAATCAAAAAAATCAGATTTTTTAAATTTAAATCGGATTTTTTTTATTTAAATCAGATTTTTTTGATTTTTTATCGAATTTATTTTAATAAAAAACTTTTGGGGTAAAAATCTATCGTAAGATAGTTTTCTATTTAAGATACATAAATAATTTAGTTTATTCAGCATGAAATGGAGCTTAGTTATGTAGCATGAGGCTGTATATTCTGCAACACTGGGACTATCGGTGAGTCAACAGTGGGTCAAAGGAGTAGCAGAGATGACAGTTGCTCTTTAAAAATTATGATTTAAATCGAGTTGATTTAAATCAAGCCTTTTTACTAGTGATTTAAATCATGATTTAAATTGTGATTTAAATCAACTCGATTTAAATCAAATCCACCCTGGAAACTCTTTGGAAACTCAATTTAGAGAATGGAGAGAGATGGAGAGGAGAAAGAAGAGGAGAAGGAGAAAGAAGGAGACAGCAGGAGAAGGAGAAAAGAAGAAGAAGAAGATGAAGAAGAAGAAGAGGAAGGAGAAGG